ATATATATATATACTATGCCAAGTACCAAGAACATGTATCTTTAGTTAAATAAGTTTAAAGGATTTTGAAATCCAAGATTCAGGATTAGTTCATTTACACTGAACAATGTGAAAAGCTGTAACCTGTCACAAGAATTGTGTTTTCAGTCCAGTTGAAGTGTGCTTTACTTAGACCAAAAATTCAATTTTGTAGGTATCTCACAATCAGAAGTAAAATATATGATAAATATAACTGTGGGTGTTTTCTTGTATAGTATCACTGCAGACTATGAAATTTCCATCAAATCAGAAGTAGTTTTTGTAGGTATGATTGAGTGGTGGGTAAAGGTTATTGTGCTGAGGCCTCTGTCATCTGCAATTTTTGCTCTGCTGTGTTTTTTGTAAAGGCTTTTAAAACCAAAACTCAGAAATGGCAAAAACTTAATGCTACATTTTTATTACAACATAAACTGCTAATTTAAGCTTCGAGGTGCTGTACAGTTAATAATATAAACAGATATAGTTGAAGCAGTTTGAATGTTTCTGAAGAACAGCATGATTGAATCGTTGGCAGCCAGGGAGACAACAGGTGCTGTATCCTGATCTGACTTGGTCTTTAATCAAAATGCAGATCAAGTGGACTGCAAATGATACCAGCCGGGCTGGAGACACACAGAAGCTCCCTCTGTCGCGTCGCTGCTCAGATATAGAAATTCTGGACAGGTGTCCAAATGGGAGAGCTGGTCTTAGCACAGCCAGTTGCCCTGAAGGTAAAACCAGCAGGTTTGAATTGAAATGTTTTTCTTTTGGCTGCTTCCTTCAGCAGGAGTCACTTAAGCGAGCAAACGGGCACGAAACATTTGGCAACTGTCTTATGCAAGATGCCCTTCTTGACGAAACCTGGGCTTGAACCTGCAGCCTCAGAATTACGAGACCACCCACTGAACTACCGCCCTTACAGTTTTGCGTTTGAATAATTTTCCTAAAATGTGTACATTTAATTTCTAATACACAAAAATATGCCTTCTTATTTCAATATATATAGATATTCATGCTTTCGGGGGTTTTCTCCCTCACTGACAGTTTTTTTGCAGAAGCAGAGCTGACCCTGTGTTACTTTCCCGGGCCTGAACATCTGCCGGTACTTAAATGAGGCCTAGCTGGCAATTTACAGACAGAATGTCGGTCTTCTACTTCTGCTCCCTGTAATCCTAGAAACAGAAGTTTTGATGAGCTTTTACCAACAAGTGTTATATTCATGAAATTTAAAGTGAAATCACACGCAACTTCTACATCTCATCAATCTTCAAACAGTTTATCTGTGCAAAGATTTTGTCAGAATCCTTGAAAACTATAATTTAAATGGCAGATGATGTACCTGTGATTTTGATAAGGCTCCACAACGTAGATTCTCTTTTTAAATCTTGTTTATGAACTTGCATAATAGGAATTTATTTTGTAAATGTACATATTTGTGGTATTCATTAAGCACTACAATCACATTTGGTTACAACTCATTTAAAGATTGGCTAACAAAAACATAACAAAAGCGAGTTCTCATCGTGGTCACAATCCAAAAACACTAATTTCATAAATAAAAAAACAAATACAACAAACAACAAATGCTACAAATAAAAAAACAGAGTTTGGCCTTTCCTGGGACTTAGTCCTATATACAATCATGATATTTGGACCAAAAAAAACATACGAAAAGCAGTTTTTCACAAATAAAAACAAATAAAAAATACATAAATACTGTATAAATAAATAAAAACATACCAACATGTAAGGTTTTGTTTGACATAAATCTTATTTAGTTTAAAGCAGTATTGTGTCATTATATTACTTATTACTATATTTTGTGTCTTAAATACAAAATTTGATTTCTATAACTAACCTGATCACGCTGACAAACTATTTTATCTTACCCACAAATTGTATTTTAAACACATTAAAGACATGAAATGATATGAGGATATTTATCACAGATCAAATACTTTCAGAATATCTCGACACATATAAATACTTAGATTGGTAAAACAAATAACACATTTTTTTAAAGTCAGCCTTAAACAACCAGAATCTCACAGGAAGTCCAGCTCTTGAGTTTTAAATAGACGTTTTGACTAAAACACGTGTCAAACTCAAGGCCCGGGGGCCAAATCTGGCCTTTGTTTACAATTTATCTGGTTTCCAAGATGATTTTTCAAGTAATTTTTTAAATGTTTTTAATTTAACTTAAAAACAGAGCACATTTTATTTAGTGCAGTCTTTTTATGACGGTTGGGCAACTTTGAAGTATTGAAGAACTAGGTTGAATTTTTGCATAATCTTTGATTTTGGTGTGGAAAAAGCATCAGAGAACTTCAAATGAGAACAATAAAGCTCTTACTGAGGACCATACAACCAAGGACAGAGGTCAGACTGGAGTTAATGTATTGACTGAAATTGGCCCTTTCTTTGAAATAAATTTGTAATTTTGTCTGCCTTTTGTAACTAAGTTTGACAACCCTGAAATGTAAATTTAGCGTGCATATGATAGACGGGTAACTTCTGAGCTCATAATCTCATTTTAGTCCATGTCCTGAACTTTTTGACATATGGCTTCAGTAAACTCTGAGCACTTCGAGTTTCCTCCCAAGTCTTTGGTTAGCACCTTGATAAAAGACAGCAGAAACATAAATCACAATACAGATAGCGCTAAAACGTGATTTCTTGAAAACTGGAATACCTTTTTGTCTCGAATGGTGTCAAAACACGCAGTTTCGATCTTGTTGGCGTGGCCGTGCAGAGCCATGTGTCGCAGCATCATGACGGCGCTGAGCAGCAGGGCTGTAGGGTTCGCCAGGTCTTTCCCTGCGATGTCCGGGGCCGTTCCATGAACCTGGCAGGAGAAAGAGTAAGTCTGTCAAATTCCCACAACTTCAAGCAGTTTCACCTAATATCACTTCGTTAATCGGAGCAACTCATATCTTGATTGTGTGAGCCATAAATGTCAGATGAAAAAGAAGAATAAGAATTTAAACTAAAACAACGTACCGACTCAAATATGGCCACGCCTTCAGCACCAATGTTTCCACTCGGAGTCACTGCCAAACCTCCAATTAGCCCAGCACAGAGGTCGCTGCAGGGGAATCCCATCACATGAATTATTTGTGAGCATAATTCACATTTATTTGATTTATTTTGGCTTTGTTTTAATATTTTTACAGTTGTAAAATATTTTGCCAAACTATCAGCTTGAGTTCTAACTGATCATCACTACCTGATATGACACTTTTCCTCAAATGAAAGTAGCATTACTTGAAAGAATCGTCTGCTGCTTTGCGCTACAAAGTTTTAACAATAAACTCACAGGACCTGTTAGTGCTCAGTGTATGTGTTAGGGATGACTCTCAGCTACCACAACACCAAATTTCAGCTCCATATCTGTAAAACCGAGTGAACTACAGGCATTTATGTGCTTGGTAAGGTTGAATAGCTGTGGCAGTCATATTGAATTGGGCTGATTCCAAAAGTTAATCATTTGTATACAGTAAGTACTTCCTGTCATTATTTTCTGAAAGTTTTATTAAAATCCATCTGGTAGTTCAGGAGATATTTTGTTAATAGATAACAAATAAACACACACAGACAGAGACAACTGCAAGATCATCCACCTCTCATGAGGGTTAGTTTGATAAATATGAATAATAAATTTAATATGGCTATCACGATAAAGTCATAAAATGTTTTCAGTGTTTACCTAAATTCTCAATTTTTATGCACCAAGACGTAACATAAAATACTTAAAATTAGGAAAATACTGCATCAGCTGAAGAACAATATATTAAATTATACCATAATTTACTTAACAACATCTGAGACAAAATGCCCAAACTTGAAAAAGTGCACCAAAAACTAAAAGGGTAAGTAGACTCAATCATCCAGGTAAATAAATCACCAAAAAGTTAAATCATGTCATCTGGACAGTTTGTTTTTTATCAGTTCAAGGTGGTGCACTGTCTGCATTGGTCCAAAGACAAACTGTGTGACCTGGATCCTGCATGTAACCGCTGCAAACAAACTACAGCTTCGCTCTTCTACACATATTCTGGACTTCAAGGCAACGGGGCTGTTGACATCTATTTTTGATACGTTCTCTGGGATATGTGAAAAAAAAAAAAACTGTGTACCTGTCATTATTCATTTCATTGTCTGGGGTGGTCCTTGCACATGCATCCTTTAGCAAGTACGAGAACCTGTCCACATGATTTAACTTTATTGTGAGGTGTAAAAAACTAATCCTGTCTTTAATGCACAATAAGAACTGACAGAAGCAGCAATGTGCTGATTATCAAACACATCTGATTAAATGATCACAATCAAGAGTGAAGCGTCTCTGTAAAGCAGTTTGGCTGTTTGTGTGACTTCTGGGATCAGATACTTAGAACAAACAGAACAAAAGAGTAGAGGTTTCATAAAAATAAAATAAAAAACAGGTGGCACAAATACCTCACACAAACTGTGGTGAGGTGTGACGGCTTAAGATTTTGCTTATTGCAGCCAAAAGACCTGGGCACCTTGCAGTAAGTTGACCATAAAATGTTATAAAAATCAAATGGTTCTTGAGTCGAGTGTGAGTCAGTCTGACCATCAGCTCAAAACTTCATCCAGTCTGTGTCATCTGACAATGATGTGTAGCAGCAAACCTACGACAATATGGCTGAAAAGAGAATATCCAAGGCGTTGGAATGTTTTAAAGTCTGGACGTCAATACGGGTTAAATCATGTGTCAGAATCTTAAAAGAACTGTACATAAACTCAGTGAACTGATTCAATGTTGTAATAAAAAAACAATAAAATAAAAAATAAAAAATATATATATAACATGCCTCCACACTGAGACGATGAACTGATGAGGTTATTATGAAGCCAGATGTGTTAGATTTAGATTACTGCTGCTAAAAGTTCTACAAAGTGCTGAAACGTTAGGTTTTCACAAACTGCCATTAAATTTATAGCTTACATTGATGTGCATGTTTTATACTAATGTATTGCATTGTTATGGTTTTGTATAAGACGTCTCTTGCAAATGAGACTATTGTGTCTCAATGTGACTAATCCGTATAAATAAAGGAAATTAATGAGATGTTCATGAGAGGTTGTGCAAAACCTTCAAAATAGAAAGAAGGTGCACTTACTTTTTTACCATCAAAGCACATTATGAGAGATTCAGTGATGAAGATTACCTCAAGATGTCTCCATACAAGTTTGGCATCACCAGTACATCAAACTGCGTGGGGTCTTGGACCATCTATAAAAGGATGTGCACATCGTTGCTGTCAGTTGCACTCGTCAGGCAGTCTTGTTGAAACCCACAGTATTTTAAATTTTAAATTCAAAGTTGTTGGAACTTACATGCAGACACACCGTATCCAGAAACATCTCAGTAAACTTGATGTCTCTGTGCTTTTCTGCCGCCTCTCTGCATTTTCTCAAGAAAAGTCCATCTGACATTCGCCTTGAAAACAAGTTAAAAATCAAACAAACATATAATTGGAGAAATCTTTAAAAAGACTCTCTGCTTAAAGGAAACTGTTCTGAACACAACATACATGATGTTTGCTTTGTGAACAGCAGTAACGCTGGACCTCTGATTACTTTTTGCATATTCAAAGGCGAACTCTGCGATGCGCTGGCTGGCTTGTTCAGTGATGAGCTTGATGCTCTGCACAACTCCATCAACAATCTGAAATCAGGGGGTGGTTTTAAATTTACAACATTATACTCAGTAAATATGTTTAAATACAAACTAATAGTTCAACATAGACACAATGTTTAGTAACATATAATACACTGAAATGAAAGCGTCTCTGTAACAATGAACGTGTTGATGGTCAGACCACATGTTCGATCCCGCTGTATTTTCCCTCTGTGTTCTCCCTGATGGTGACCAGGTTCACATCCGTGTAGGCAGTTTTGTAACCCTCAATGGACACACAGGGCCGCACATTAGCATAGAGGCCAAAGGTTTTCCCCAGAAGCAGGTTCATGCACGGATGGTCAGTTCCTATTGGTGTCTTCAAAGGACCTGCAGGTAAAAAAAACAAAAAAACAGTATATATATACCGTATTTTTTGATAAGGCGCACTGGATTATAAGGTGCATTAAGTGAAACCAAACAAATAAGTCAAACTTTTTTCAACTCATTCACAATAACCACATAAAATCAGTTCAAGGTCAGTGAGCACAACCTGAATTAATACATAAGGAACAACTGATTATAAGGCTCATCTGTCGATTTTTGAGAAAGTTAAAGGATACAAATAAATGCGCCTTATAGTCCAAAAAAGACGGTATGTCAGAACACACCTTTTTATAGAAAAATTGCTTACTATGCATCATGTCCAATGCTTAAATACAATTTAGGCCTTTGTATATGAAAAAAAAAAACCTACTTTGCAACAAATGAGTAAGCAAACCTTTTAGGCCAATTTTGTTCTTATGCATCGATTCTTTGGCCTCCTGAGGAATCACCCATCTCCCACCAGGTCCTTGAAGGGGTGTAACGTTTATCTCCTCCCACTTAATAGGTGCCTAGTTTATCAAGAAAGAACATTGCAGTATAATCTATAATCAACTACTTTGTTTATTTAAAAAAATCAATATGGACTAGCATTTCTATTGTTTACTTTGTCAAGAATCAGTGCTGAAGCAACCAACACAAATTCCTCTCTCTTATTTTGTCTCTTCCAGAACTAACTTTAGCAGTTTCAAATATCTTCATGACCGCCGTGGAGATCTCTGGACCAATTCCATCACCAGGGATTAAACAAACAGTTTTCATCTGTGAGGCACAAACAAGCATTACATTCAAGAATAACAAGAATGATTAGATTGGTGGGTAGTAAGTTATTCCACAAGTTTTAAACACCAGAGCAAGAATATATTTGAGGCGAAACATAATTACTCCACTTACAAAACTCCTAGATTGCAGAATTTCATTCTTCAATGCCCTGAGTGCCTGTAACACCTGCCAAACATGAGACAGATTTCACAACAAAAATATTTCACTTTGACAGCATAAAGTGAGTAATAGGTTCTGTTGTACTTGTGTTTTGATCAATGCAAAGTAAGTTTGACTGATCACCTTTATTTCTATGATGAAACATTTATGTTCCAATAGGAGTGGTCCTCAAAACAACAAACATGGTATTACTTTGGAAGAGTGCTTTTCCATCTCTGCAGCAGTCTTTCACAGATGTGCAGAAACAAAGCCATGGTGCACTCAAAGCACACTGATAACAGTGTTTCTACATCTATAAATACTACAGAAGACTTGTACTAGAAGACTACATATTCTTAAGCAGTCGTTCAGTTTGATGGGAAGGCTTTTATTGTAGGAGGGTGTTTTTGTTATTTAGGGGGCACCTGTCAAAGTAAGATCCATGACAGAATACAAGTTTTCTCATTAAATGTATGTAGTAACAAGCAGCGTTACTGACCTTACCCATAGGAGGACAGTATGTGATTAAATACAAGTATTTAAGTTTTGGCCCCCTTAAAATTGTTTATGCATTTATTTAATTTCCGTCCTTCATAATACTGGAGAAACCATGTTAAAAACTGCTTAATTTCACCACAAATCTTACACTGTTGTGGCCTTGTTTATTTCAAGCGACTGTCAACAAATTAGTGGCTTGTTATCACTGACAGTGGAGTAGGGTGTGGCCCTGGAAGCACAAAGTCAACCCTAAAAGGCCCCCGAAAAATGTGAGAAAAAAAACCTAAAGTTACTGCCTTTAGGGTTTTTTTTTACTGATAGCTAATAGAAAATATGAGGCATGTGTAGTTTTGAATTGACTAAGTTGACTAAATTCAGCTGAAGTGAAATGGATTTTAACTAAAATTGTTTATATATTCCTTAATTACACTTCTACAGTGTTATATTATGAGCTAACGCTTTCTGTAACAGAGGAAAAACAGTAAACACTTTATTATTCGTAACATAATGCTAACTTAATAGCTAACTAGATAGCAATCAAGTCTGGTTGCTATGGTAACGACGAGTAGTTTGTGACAGTGGCTTTCAGGTATATCGCACTTTTAAGACTACATTTATGTCACATAGGTGTACGTAAAAAAATACGAACTTCTGTATTTTTTTTTAAATATAAAACATTAAACCTTTGATACCATTTATACGATTCAATAACGCGAATTTTATGCGCGCATACATACCGTTGACCTCCACACTTTCCCTGCCATCCGCTAGCCGGTACCGGAAGCGCAGGTGATGGTGCTGAGCGGACTTCCGCTTTTCAAAATAAACTCTTAAATTAAAATTATTTTTAGACGTAGCTGTTTAACTCCCATTTATTTCAGAACTGACCAAATAACATGCAATATGTTCAACTTATTTTACATTTAGTGCGATTTTAAACCAATAACGTTTTACAAAAATCACTTTATTCTACTTGATACAAGCAACAGGGTTTAAAATATTCACTTGACGTCTTAACTGACCGAATAAGATGGATTAAATGCTAGATCCACTAAATAAGGCTTTATTGTCATCAAAAAAGGCTAATTCAGCTCAATGCCTAAAAAAGCCATTTAATTGTAAATAGCAGTAATACCCAGCAGGTGGGGCCAAAGAGCATTCTCTGGGACTCTACATCTGCTGAGTTTAGCGTTTTAAACTGTTTTAGCAATCAATAAAGTGTACTGTTCTCCTGTGAATAAACAAAGCAATATATCTGAATTTTAACCATAAAAAGGTAGGAATGATGTACAAGCTTATAAAAGCTTTATTTTCCACAAGGTGGATTTTCCACAAGGTCCTTGTACACGCAGTAAAGTTTATGTAACAAAACAAGTTCAAGCAACCTTTATTTAGACGGGTAAATCCCATTGAGCCTCGAGGACTCGTTTACAAGAGAGACCTGATTTCAACAAAGAATGATGACAACAATGAACAGTGACAACAATAGACAGCCACAAAAAGGCATAGATTTTTATTTTTATTACAAATAAGATGGCAAAAAAAGTAACAAAAAAAGCTAGATTATAAGGCGAATGTAGAAAACTAAAAACAGGAACAGGAAGTAGAAAGGGGCAGTCACTTTTTGCTAAATAAAAAACAACAACCTATGATAATACAAACAGCATGGGATACAAGTACTCTGAGCCAGTCAGGCATCATAAAAGGAAAACCATCAGCATGTAGAAACTCTTAAAAGCGGCATGGCTTTAAGCATAATTGCAGGCTACAGTATTTAAAATGCACACTGTGCAAGTTAAGACATCTTTGAACCAAACTGAAGGAGATCAGTATGAGTGAAGGTTTCTAAACCTCCCACATGGAATCTCTGAGAACCAATTCCTCAAATTCCTTACACTGCAACAAAGAGCAAGTGTGTTAGGCAATGCATTTATCAAGCATTTTGACATAGCACAGTTACTTAAAAAAGCTACAGTAATTCAGCATTACTACATTGCAAATAAATAAATAAAGCTGCAAAATATCAGACACTAAAGTGTCCAAAATAGCCCAACTTAGATTGCATATTGCTTTGGCTGCTTCTTCAAGCTCATGGATTTTTCTGTTTGCGAAATAATGTGAGTGGCTCTGTTGTTGAGGAGTCTGCATTCATGAAGAACATCTGTAAAAAAAAAAAAAAATAATACAAATAAATAAGATGAGATGTACAAACTAAAGCATACACAGTGATTTCAGAACAGCTGACTAGAATGATAATGTTTTGCTGAGAGTAAAATTGATCCTCTCACCTAACAATGTTGAGTCAGAATAAGTATTTTGGAGCAACAAAGAAGAACCAATCCAGAGGGCCTGACTCAACCTTGTTAGATTCATCTACCTGGATTACTGAGCAAGCATCTGATCCTCACCGTTAAACTGTTTGTAAGCTTCTTCAATAATGGCATTGTTTGACCTCTTTATCTCCCAGTAACTATCTTCCACCCATGGCTTACAGTCGAGGTGTTCCACGAGCTGTCCATTCTTGTACGAACCAGCTGGTCATTCAGAGAAACAAACGTTAGAATGCATAAAAATAATGGAATGCACGAGTCGCATTAGGATGAATACAACGGACTCACTCGTGGACGAGTTGTCAGGGGGATTTTGTATTTTATATCACAATAATATTGATTTGACTAAATGTGTATACACCTTTAATAGTTTCATCAATGTCTTTGCATAGCTGGTACAAGTCACTTCCTCTCCCAACAATTCTTTCTCCTGTAATTGAAAACAAATCAGATACAGTCCGTGCATTAAACATGACTTAATTATTAACATAGGTAATGGTTCATGTCTTCATAAATAAATAAATAAAAATATATCTTACCATCTAGCACTTTGATGCAGGGGAACATCTCGAGCACTGCAGTTCTGTAGGATGAATTCCTGCACACTGATGAAAACAAAAGCCACTGTAAGATCTTTTTTTTTTAAGTGCCTTATTTTATGAAATGCAAAATACTAAAGTTACCGGAGTTGCTGTAATTGTGTGTGTTGTCTTTCAGACGGATATTTTCCAGTTTTCTCAGAGAAACAAGGCAATGTAGGTTCTCGATACTGTTGAACAGAACAGGAGCGAAGCACATTTACCAGATCTGCTCTGGTAACTAGGAACAAGATATTCCCTGCTTTGAGTTGAAGATTATTTTAAACTTGTTAAAAAAAAAATTGAAAAGCCAAATACTGACTGACTGCATACTACATCATTGAACATAAAACAAGTTGGTGAAAAATAACTTATCACAGTTTAAATAATCTCTAAATCACGTTTAAGTAGTTTTAAGAAAATTAATTGATTGATTAACAATTTAAGACACATATACACTCTCTATTTCTTTGGTAGTTAAATATATATCTTACCTGGAAATGACATTACCAGCAACATTAAGGCTCTGCAAATTTTCACAGCTGCGAAGAGGCTCTGGAAAATAAAAACTGTTTATTCATTCATAAGTTCACTAATTTAGTTCTTGATAACTGAAAGGAAGAAAACTTACCTAAATTGGAGATCTTATTTGCAGATAAATTTAGCACCGAAAGAAGCCGAAGACTTGCAAGAGGAGCTAAATGTGTGATGTTATTCCCAGATAGGTCCAGCCTCTCCAAATTTATACATTCTCCAATGCATCCAAGGTCATGTATACCTAAAAACATACCGCATAAACCTAAATAAACATAAACAATAATGGCAATAGTAAAAAAACGTTTTTGTCTTACCAAGACCTCTCAGTTTGAGGAACAATATAGATTCCAAATCAAATTCTCCAGTACGCAACTTGAGCAGCACTGCGGTTACCTTCTCACAGTCTGCATCTGGAAGAATCAGAGTGGAAAGAAAGGACGGGCACTTCTAATCTTATACGTGCAGCACAAACACAAAACTTCAACTTGTGAGTCAGCGCTGCAAAGGCAGAGAAAATGCTGGAAGCACAATTTGTTCCGTTAATAGCAGAGAAAAGTGAAGCAGCCGTGCTCCTGACGGATAATCTCCTTCAGCCTCAGACAGAGGCTCACAGACAGACAGATGTGCTGCTGCTGTGTGCACTGGTGTGTGTAATCTTCTATTTCTAATAGCATGCATGCATGAATAACAGCTGATGGAGGGGGGATTGCCTTTGGCAGTGTCAGATATGCATGGACTGTCTTCACTTTCTTAACCAGATGCAATGACGTTAAACTAATTAACATATTTACTTAGTTAAATAAATTAGGACTGGGGTCTCCAACACTACAAAAAAGTGTACTAAGTGGGGAACAAATGAGAACCAAAACATATGCACACACACACACACATTATATATATATATATATATATATATATATATATATATATATATATAT